CGACTTACTACAAAGTGCAACAAGCCAAGCTGCAGTGCTTACCTCGAAGCAATCGGTGACTGTGTCCGATTCATTTGCTAAAATTAGTCTTCATATCAAAGTGAAAAGGATCCTTGAAAGTCTTCCTAGCAATGTACAAGATAAGCGTTTGATGCTAATATCAAAGTGGGGATTCGATGAAGCAGTGGTCATCAATCACAAAAGGCAAATGGATGACGAAATTAAGGCTTTTATCCCTACAAAATGTAACAATAATATGGTATATCATCTGATGATGACGATGATTGATCCTAAAGTCTGTACATATCTATCTGAAGTTAGATCAAATGCATCTTGCTACTTGTGCTTGGCTAAACCTAGGGAAATGAACCGATTAGACACTGTTATATCTAAAACCGTGTCAGCTGGCGTATATGAATTTGGATTATATTCACTGCACGCCCGCATTAATTCCATGGAAAACCCTTTACACATCGTATACCGACTCGATTTCAAGAAGTGGGCTGCGAGAGGAGATGACCACAAGGAAATGTTGGAGGCAAGAAAAAAAGAATCGAAGATATGTTTAAAGATAAGCACAATATTTTAATTGACATAGTAAAACAAGGTGCAGGAACAACCAATGACGGGAATATAGCAAGAAGATTCTTCGAGTATCCCAATAGAACCGCAGCAATTACTGGATTGGATGAGGATTTGGTGCGTAGATTTGCTGTAATTCTAGAAGCTATAACATCTGGGGAGGTAATTGATGTTACTAAATTTAAAGACTATGCCTACAAAACAGCAGAGAAGTACGTGGAGTTATACGATTGGTATCACAAGTCGTCGACCGTCCATAAATTGCTCTTAGATGGAGCAGATATCATCGCCAGCAATGCAATAATACCAATTGGAAGCCTCTCAGAAGAAGCCTCAGAAGCTTGCAATAAAGATTTTAGAAGGTTTAGGGAATACCATTCTAGAAAATGGAGCAGGCAAGCTTCGAACGAGGATATTCTCAATACGCTTGTACTTTACTTTAAGTAGTACAAAATTGACGTTATATGAAGTGACCAAGAAAACCCTAATAACCATACTTAACCATAATTTCTTCTCCGAAACTCTAGAATTAATTAAATTTCAGAAAAATCAATCAGAACTTTGGATGTATACAATCTGGATCCGGATTCTGAACTGGAATCTGAAGAGAGCAATGCAGAAAATTAATTTGCATAATGCTACGTATTAAACATGAGGTATTAAACGGATACTTTATTGTATTTATTCATAATCATTTAAGTAAAGTTTATTTATTGTAATATCTTGATGAAAAAAATAATTTCACCGTGTTGATGAATTTGTTGATGGAGGCATTTGACATTGAATTCGTATTTAAACGTATGTATAAACGTATATTTAACCAATATAATTTGATTAATTTTATCTCTTAATTTTTGCTATTATTATTATTATTTTGTTTTTATTTTTTTTAGAATAATATATTTTTAAGTAACTACATCTTAATCTTGTCGCCATGAAATATTTTTTTTAATATTAAAAAAAAATCCGCAGATTTTCCCGTTATATGAAGTATGTCAAAAAATCGCAAATAATTAGTACTATAACCGTCTATAAGGCTATTACAGATTTTTCATATCAGCTCCATACAATATTATTGAAAAAAAATTATAACTAATCAGTTTTCATGTCAAACTAACTAGCTTGATAAATTTGAGCATAGTAATAGACAACCGAATCTATTTCCAGCAAAAAAAGGACACTTTAAAATAAAAATCCCCAAGTCTATGAAAGCCGATTTTCAGCCCACTGTGCGACGCAGCGTCCGTTCGGCATTGCTCTTAGGTCACAAATTCGCAACGGTGTGGTGCGTTCAGCGGGGCGTCTTGTCTTGGATGTATTCAACACTAGATACAAGTTTGCGCGCACGACTTGACCCGTCACTTGATGTTCTAAAAAAAAAGGTGAGCATTTAAATTGCAAAGACCTGAAGTGCACTGCCACTGTACCGTGACACATAAAGTTGACAAGGCCCATGTGCCTGTGATTTCACTAGCGCCCTTAACCTAACTAAAATAACAAAATGTTCCGTTCAGGTTTCTTGAAAAAAATACACTTCGAAAATAATACATTTACGAGACCACCACACGCTGGTCACCCTTCACAACAACACAAACACCGTTCTTAATTGCGGAAAAGCAAAAGCCTGGACGCAAAGTGGTCCAGAACCGCCAAATTCTATTTACTCGTGATCTGTTTTTATGATACCAAATGACGGGACGAACAAGTCGTGGGCCTGCTGGTAAGCGACACGTCACACTCACACACACACTCGGACATTTAAATCACAAAGATCTGAGGATCTGCCACTGCGCCCGTCACCCTGAGACATAAGTTGATAAGTCTCGTGTGCCTGTAAATTCACCAGCACCCTTACCCTTCGAAACCGGAACGCAATAATGCTTACATTACTGCTCGGCGGTAGATATAGATAAGGTGGCTGTATTTCCCTGGACGAACACTTTCACAAGGAGCTCTGTAGCTATTAAAATATCACTAGGGCTTTTCCTGTACTATGAGTACCAGAGCTAGACTTCCCAATATACTAACAAATGAATCAATTTGCTTTGTGCAATATACTTAATTAAACGGATTGATAAGAAAAGTTGCAACGTTCGTAAAGCAAACAATAGATCAAGTTCATAAAGAACGCCACAAGTGGGTTAAAAACCTAACGCGAGTGTGAACGGAAAAAAAGAGGTTAGTAGGGGGATGGATGTCTTTTTTTAACTTGGCCCTTGCTGAGCCATTGAGAGAGTAACAAAAAAGAAATCCAGTGTCTGGAGCTGTGAAAAACCGTTAGTGTAATTTAGGAACAAAAGAACATTTAATAAGTCATATCTGTTTGTCTTACTAGACTAATAAACAACACAGTTAAAACTGGAAATGAAACGTTTTTCGGTTCGCGTATGTTTGTATGAATTTATTTTGAAGACAAAATGCTTAATAATATTTTCCGACAATGTAACCCGGCGAAATTTTTTTTATAATATCAAGTGCAGGGGTTTCGGTCCCATTTCAATTAGAAGAAAATATTCCACCTCTAAGGGTGGCAAACTAGGGATGAAAAAATGTTCACGCACTTTACTTAACCGATTTCAATGAAACGTGACAAATGGATGTAATTTCACAAAGTATTGAGGTTTTTGACTCGTTTAGATCCTATAATCAAACTGTATACACTGTGTGCTAAGAAAATTGTACCCCTTTTAATAAAAAAAATGCAAAATTTCTTACCTATGAAAGATTTCAATTGACTGGTACATACGTCATCTACAATGCCAACGCTCTGAGGGCCGGTACCAATTAAGAAGTTGTACGTTGTGAATATTTCGCGCAGTGACCGGAAGCAGGAACTTATTCCGGTTGTTCATGCGAGTTGGACAGTTTGTCAATTTATGTGCTGCGCCGCATCGACTGAAGGCGCAAGCTTAATTGACTCACACTGATTGTCTCGGGAGAGAAATTCTATTCAATACGGACTTATGACATGTATTGAGTCATACATACATAGCGGTAGAGGTCCCTGTGAAAGAGTTTATCATGTATATAATCTGTCTTTTTTGAAGACTGAGTAAAATAACAGTTCATAATAACTAAAATAACGGATAAAATAACGGAAGTGGACTCATGTATTTAAGTCGAATTTTTTCTCGATATGTTTCGAACCAATTCGTGGTCCTTAATCATGAGATTCCGCGGCGGTAACTCGACGGAATCTTGACAGTCAACTGTCAAAATAAGAATAAAGAAGGCAATAATGCAATCAGTAATCATTAGAACGTCGTAACATTCACAATTTAGTAATTTTTGACAAAGTTGTATCTTCTTTCATAATACATCGATAAAACTATCGGCAACATCAACATAACTATTTAAAATTTAATGAAAATTGGCAACTCGTTATGTCATTTTACTCCGTCTTCAAAAAGACAGACTATAATAATAATAATAAAGCACACACTCAATATAGCCCTGCACTAGGCAAACCCTGTATCGACCATGAAGGCAGTTATCAATTGGGTTAGTTAAAGCAGTCGAGGAAGTGCTACCGCATATGAAAAAACCTGAATTATTTATATAAACTACACTAAAAAATTCCTTTGTGGTTTTTGTGTTAATATAAAAAACACGTGTTTCTAATTATTTTTTGTAGTAGTGGGACATGAAATTTTGTTATCTTGCCTAAGTGGGCGGTGGGCCACAAAGCTAGGGGAACCTATGACCTAGACCTTAACATAACCTATTTCTTACAACTTACTACTTCTACTGCCATGCAATAATGTGAGCATTACTGCATCAAGTGAAATTACAGGCATATGGGACTTTCAATTTATGTCTCAGGGTGCAGGGCGCAGAGGCGTTGTCCCGGAGATCTTGCGGAGATTGCGATTTAAGACTGAGTACCAGGTTTGTGCCGCCACATGGTATCATAAAAGAAAAACATACAATTGGAGTGGTTACTTTCCTGTGATGCGTGCCTAGAACGCAATAGAAATTGTCATAGATTGAAAAATACTATCGTTTCTTTCACTCTATACTAAGAGAGAAAGAGAATACAAAGTTCTTTAGATAATACAGGATCAGACTAAAGTGACACTGTTATAATAGAGGTTGACAAAGAAAGATTATGACATGAAGCCATGTTCACAGTAACGTAATCTGCTAAGTGTACAAACCCACCGCGTATCACTCCAAGTCCGTCCATCCAACACACGTAGATAACCGACGTCAAAGAAGATCATAACATTGGGTAGGCATACTAAGTAATTGTTAATATTTCTATTATACATTTATTTCAAAACTCCAATTGAATTTACAATAGTAGATAAGCTATAATTAAAATTAACAATGAGAAGTACGTACAATACAAAAACTATATTAAACCTAGAAATATTTTTATTCATTATTGTCTACGATTATTTATTCTAGTAACGGTTCAAGCACTAAAGAACAAAAAATGGAATAAAGGCAGAAATATAATGAAATGCCTTTTAAAAGTAAGAAATAAACTTAGTACACAAGTACCTACCTTAAATAAAATGATAATACAGATATCTTATTCTAAAGCCTTACTTTTCCAAAACTCAGCCAAATCTCTGAATTTGTCATTACACTGCCGTTTTCTTTTCGGATTCTTGTTTGCGACTGGACTTTTCAAAAAGGAACTAAACTTTCTAACAAGTGTAGTAACAGATTCCCTATTTGATTGATTCATCTTATTGATGTCGTTATCCTCGATCATATTGTTAATAGTGTCGATTGTAGCATTCAACTGATCGAACGCTTCGTCAATGTATCGATCAACATCATCACTGTCACATTTTTCTTTCCCTTCAATGGTATCATCAAACGACAAATCTGATACATCAATGCTACACTGCACTCTTTCGGGTAAGGTCTTTTTTTTATTAATGGTACTAGTAGTTGAACAGAGTCGTTCTATTGATCTGAAAATGTCATCTATTCTGTCACATATTTCATCAACTGACAAAGCTGATATAATTTGTCCACTGATATAATAAAATTGTTTCAAAGGCAATTCCCTAGGTTCATTTTCTTCTAAATCTTTAAGGAAATCTTTATAGTCTAATGTTGCAGATTTCTTAGAATACTGTCGACCAACTTTCTTTTTAGCCTTTTTAAACAGATATGGCGAGTTAAAAGTAGTTCTTTTCAGGTCTAAAGTGCTGTATGCTGGTGCTATTTTAGTTGGGCGATCGTCTTCTGTTTCCAGGTCTATTGGATTGCCCCATTCTTGTTCTAGTTTGGCCCATTGCTCGTTGCCTGATAGAAACAAGTCGGTGTCCATTAGATGGGAACCCATTTTGGACATCTGAAAAGAAGAATGAACGGTTTGTAAAATATTTTTGTTATGGACGAAAGATTATTTTTATGATCACGTAGACGCCTAGTCACAGATTACTTAGTAGTTCTCAGTGTATATATTATAGTAAACGTATCGCATTCTAATGTAACTTATATATATTCTATTTATAAGAGAAGACTGCATAGTATTTTTTATATTTGTTTTTCGGTTGGGCGCACTGGCAGCACTCATAACTCGTAATTTGAAGCTCCGAGTGGCACTGCACCATAAAAAAAGGTACAGGTGGAAACAGGTAGTTTTCAAACAACAAATAAAGAACTAATAACTCCCTCATTGTGATAGAATGGGCAAAAAGTAATAATAATTAAACGCAACGTAATATAATAATAATAATGCACACACTCGTAGCCCCGCACTGGAGAAACCCTGTGTCGCAAGTCCATGGACTCATATATTGACAACGACAAATTATATAATACCCAAACTTACGAGAGAAATAAATGTAGGTCATAGAAATATTTCTCTCGGCCCTGGAATCGACCTGTGCGTGACAGCAGGGCAGTTCCTCCGACATTCCGTGACCAAGCATTCCGTCGGTTAAGTAAATAAATTTATTTACGTTTTTTATATGATACAAAGTAACGGGATGAACAAATCATGTGCCTGGTGGGAAGCGACACGCCTGTCCATAACAGTTGCAGTGACACAGGACTTATGTCTCAGGGTGATAGGCGCAGTGGCAGTGTCCTTCAAGCCTTTGCGATTTAAAGCTCTGACTGGCACTACAACTGTTATGGACAGGCGTGTCGCTTAACACCAGGTGCACGATTTGTTCGTCCTGTAAAAAATATAAAAAAGATGTATTGCTGTTACACAAATGTACGTATCTACAAAGGAAGGTTGAAAATTAATCTCTGGCCACTGTCGTGATTTTTTTTCAAAATTAGTTGACGCTCTTAGAAAACGAAACCATTTTTCCGAGTTTAAATCGCGTATATTTGTTTTTTCAAACAGAACAACATTTCGAGGTCCATGGTCAACAAGTAAACGCGACTTAGAACAAAAAAAATTGTTTCCTATATTGACACTCTTCTTTTTAAATCTTGCATGTGTAATTAACCTATTCATGGACAGTACATAAATAAAACCGATAGCAAAAATGCCACAACTTTTCTTGACGTAGTGACTAAATTAAATCAATATAAAATGTTCAATGTGTGTAAATCACTGAATTTTGTCAGTACCTTGTTGGTACTTCTCTATGGAAAAGCAGTAGATGGCAACTACACAGAAATCACTTCGAAATAGCTGTTAAAATCGTAGTTGGTTTTTTGAGATCCTTATAAAGAAATGGGATATCCCATCCTATCATATTCTGATATTTAATTTTACAACAAACGCCATTACGTTGTAAATTGTAACGTAAACTTACCCAGTAAGTAACAGCTTATATAACAGCAATTAGATTTTGTAAACAATCACCCAAGTTATTAACAAAAATATCAACCGCAAAAAACACTTGAAATGAAAAATAATCGCACAAGCATATCACCGTAACGCAGACGTTGCAGAACTAAAAGATTCTTCGAATTACCTGCGATTTTTAAACTCCTATGCATCGAATGTCATTAGAGAATTTCTGTTGTTTTTTCGAATGCGGTGTTTGACAATAGCTAACAAGCACCACTATAAGGTGATCTCTGACGTGTAAGTAAAATAAGTTCATAAGATATGAATATTCTAATTTCTTCATTAGTCTTAAGTCATTTATTTATGGAAGCACAGGGTGTATGACAGCAACATAATTTATTATTACAAAAAACCGACCACAAAGTTTGATTATCCGCTTTCGCTGTATTCGTTACGTCTATTTGCCAAGTTTTATTGATATTATAAGAAATGAAACTGTTTTTCCGGATTTGAATCGCCGTGACCATGGGACCTGTAAAGGGCCCGAAACGTCGGTTTGTTTGAAAAATACATATACGCGATTTAAATCCGGAAAAATAGTTTCATTTCCTATGTGTAACAATCGCGAAAACCTAAGAACACGATTTATTGATATCAGTTAACGGAAAGTGGGTGAAATATAATAAACCGGATTGATACCCTAATCTACCACCCCTAGAGGTGGAATATTTTCTTTAAATTGAAATGGGATCACTACTGGGGTACCACCCTTCCAACATGTTAGTACTGCTAGACTAGTTTACTTTAGTTACTTCCATAGTATAATGTCCTACGGCTTTCTCATGTGGGGTAAAGCGGCAGATATTCAAACCATATTTGTATTGCAAAAACGAGCGATTCGTTCTGTGTACCGTCTAGGCTCTCGGGTTTCTTTCAGAGAAAAGTTTAAGGAGACTGGTATCATGACTGTGGCATCACAGTACATTTACTCAAATATTTTATATGCCCGTAAAAATATACATAATTTCTAATTTCAATAAGAAAGAAGATATCCATAATATTAACCTTAGAGTTAAAGCCAAACTCATGGTACCACGAGTTCGTTTAACCAAGGTAAACAACTCTTTTATGGGGAACTGTAAACGTTTTTACAATAAGATTCCGGAGCATGTATTAAGTTTATCATTTCCTAAGTTTAAAAACTACATTAAAAATATTTTGATCGAAAAATCATATTACAAAATTGAAGACTACGTGTTAGATAAAGATGTATGGAAAGACGACACGGCTCCAGAATCCACACAAATTCGATTCAAAGTGTATTCCATAGCATTTAAGTTTATTTGAAAAGAGCAATCCCTAGAGTTTCTTGCTCGTTCTTCTCATGGAGGTCAGCGTAGTGAACGAGCAGTAGCTTAAATGTGACGTTTTCAAGTGTAAATTTATTTTACCTATGGAATAAATAATCTTTGACTTTGACTGTGACTTTGACTAACAAAAAAGGACAATCGAAATCGGTTCACAAATATCGGAATAATTGCGTTACATACATAATAAACTACAGACTACGAATTGACAACCTCTTACTTTTTTGAAATCGGTTAGTTCCATTGGGGCTGGTCATCAAAGGTACCCCTCTTTCTAACAAAAAAAGAATCATCAAATCGCGTAACATATATACAAAAAAACATACTGTCGAAGTTTTTGAAGTCGGTTAAAAAGAAAAAATAGCATATATATTGTTGATATAAAGTGGTTTTATTATATTTATTTTAAATATACATTAAGATATATTTTGCAGAACTTTTAATTTGAAAGTAAACTTTCTCATTTAACTTTGGAAAAAATGTTAATACTGCATTTGAGAGGTATCTAAATTAAATATAACTTTCATACTTTACTTATAAAACCATAAAACTGTGAACCAACAAATAGTACCTATTGGTACACCAGATGTCGCGACGAGTACCAAATAGCTACTCTAATTTCAATTGATAACAAACAAATCAACTAGATGGCACTTATTGCATAGATTTTTGTGGACAGTGCCGTCTATTCTTTTATGTTGTTTAGAATAACGCCATCTACCCATATTAGGAAGAGTTAATTTATAAATTAGTTTGTAAGACATACATATTGATAAGCATATTTGTTGTTGTTTCAATGATAAATAACAAGAAAAAAATTACTTCTTATATTTCATTTGAAAGAGGAAATAAATGTTATCCATGTCCATTTACATAATAATATAAAATATCTCCAAGCTATCGATTACCGCCATTTAAATGTAAGACGGAATTTTTACCATTTTCGTAGTTAAGTTAAAGTCTGTTCCAACCCGTTTTGAAAGAAGTAAACAAAACCGTTTTGTTAAAATTCTAAAGCAATCACTAAATCAATCGAATAAGTAACACTTTCACGTATATTTCGAAGATTTCGAATTTATTTCTTATAACTTTTTCCAACAATATATTTTTTTCTTATAATGATAAACATTGACTTACAATTATATGGACGTCGGGTCCGCGCTAAAAAGTGTCCGCACTTGTAAGGCGCTAAAATCGTGTACAGAGCGCCAAACTCCGCTTTAGTCTTCATTTGTTCTACTGACAGCGCGATACTGCGATGACATTACAATTTAAATTTCGAATAGGTTGACTTGGGACATTTTTATCGTGGTTTTTGTATTAGACCCGTCGTCCATTTATTTGTAAGTCAATGATGATAAATAATAATAACAACGCACGCACTCAACATAGCACCGCACTAGGGAAACCCTGTATCGCGGGTGTCATGGACACATACATAGACAACCATAAATCACACCTAAACTCACGAGAGAAATAAATATAGGCTACAAATATTTATACTCCCGCCACGGGAATCGAATCAGGGACCTCTTGCGTAGCAGCCACAGAGGCACTTATATTATACAATATTCATTTAAATAGCATCGTAAAATCATATTTGATAAATGGTAGTCGAAAAGTGAAGTTATTTTCATCCTTACATCTAGGACTTGTCTATGTTTGCATAGTGCCAACGAAGAAAAATAATTTAACAATTAAGATTTCGGAATTTTTTTATTTGCTTATATAGGTTATGTAAGGAAAACCGGGACTATGACTCTGTTGAACAAATCGATTCATTCGCCTAATTAATCGATTTGTAATTGGTGTTACGATTGGCCATCACTACACTGTCTATGGCCGGGTCAGTGAGTTGTTTGTTTACATTTTGTTCAAAATGGATTGATATATGTAGCACGTTTCTTTCCGAATCCGAGACTATGCAAATCTAGAAAATTCTGACCCACTTCGGATGTCGTGTGTGCTTGTTCAGTTAGTTGTCAATGATAGAACTAAGAACAATAATATTAAGGCTATAAGAACAAAAGTAGTGTAACTTACTTTTCTATAAAAATACTTGACACTAAAGTACATAATTAGTTTGTATTTAGATGCTATTTTGATGTATACAAATATTTAATTATTAAATATTTTATACAATATCAATAACATCCAAATTGTACATCCAAATTGTAACGGAAGTTAAGTCGCCATGTTGGTCAGCCCGCCAGCCATATGTCACTTCCACTAACCGCCCTGCGATAGCAGCGCCACCTTCGACCAATCCGCTACACCAGCTTGTTGTTTGATGGGGGAAATGGAAGGACGTAGCCAGCTAGCCTATATAAGCATTTCAATTTCACTTTAAAAGAATTGTGTCTGGAAGCAACTGGATAAGCCATATTGTATCGTTTGATTAAAAAATGTAATAAAATACTTGGTAATCTTTACTTCATCATCTTATTTACCGCCCTTTTGTTATAAAATAGGTTAAAAAGGATTTAGGAAAAGTACAATATTTATTTAAAAGGACCAATACTATTGCCTCCGTGGCCACCATTACTGCTCTGCTGGTCCCAGGATCGATTCCCGGGCTTGGAGAAATATTTGTATGGCCTACATTTCTTTCTTTCGTGACTTTGGGTGTAATTTGTGGTTGTCTATGTGTGTATCCACGCCACCCGCGACACAGGGTTTCCATAGTGTGGGTCTATGTTGAGTGTGTGCGTTATTATTATTATTAAAATACGTGACAGTTCATTATGTGAACTTGTGTGATGTCAGCTTATTAAGATATCGATTGTCGTTTGTTACAATAATCATTGTTTAAGTAAGTTTCTGAAATAATTACAATAATGATTTGTCTTTTCTCGTGTTTGATTATTAACATCATTGACTGGTACTTTATAGTTTTCACTGCTTGGGCACGGTTGCCTCTGGCTAACGAAAGACGTCCATTGCTGTCTGTATCACCAGGTCATCGATCCATCTTGTCTTGTTCTACTCACTCTAGAACTGTTTTGCCCACCAGCTACTGCTATCATCCCCGCCCACTGACATTTGAGGGCGCGTTCCTACTATGTCGTCACGTTTTATTATCGTTGGACGACTGTCGTGTCTAGCCTGTTCCCATATCACGACTATCTGTCGTGGACGATTTTTTATCGTTGAACACTGTCGTGACTAGCTGTTCCCATTAGATCGTGACGACAATTTATCGTTTCACGACAGCCTCCTTGCCCATCTCTGGCTACGACCCAACGCTACTGCAAAGCGAGCAGAGGGCGCGGGGTACGAGAGGGGAGGGCAGGGAGCAGAATACGTGCGGACAGGGATAAATAAAACGTGACGAGAATAGGAGCTGCGACAATCTGTCGTCAAGTTTTTATCGTCCGTCGTTCTAACTGTTACCACTGTGACGACAGTTTGTCGTTGTAACGATAAAAAATCGTGAACGACAGTTAATCGTGTCGTGCTATATGTGAACAACTTCATTTACATATACAAGCCACGACACTGTAAACTGCACGACAATCTGTCGTCACGACATGGTGGTAACGCGCCCTAAGTTTTGCAATTCTTTGGGCTACATAATAATGTTGGTTACTCATTCATCAAACATAAAGAAAAATCGAATCGAAAATGAACCAACGTCTGTCAGCTCAATTGGTAAGCCACGTTGAGGTGACAGACGTTGGTTCGAGTCCAGTTGGATGGAAGGAATTTTTCTTTATATTTGATTGATAATAATAACTTTTAAAATGTTATAAAACGAACACCACCCTTAACGATATTTCAATAAAGTC